TACAAAGGGTTGCTGAGTTAGGCAAGGTTATTACAGCATTTATCTCAGAAAATAAAATCCACACTGTAATGTTCTTGGACCTTGGATGACAGAGGGTACTCTTGCGGCAGAAGCCAGTTTTGACTTCTAACACAACACCACTCTCTAGCCCAGAGGAGCACAACTTTGCGGGAATGTCCCCAACACCTTTCCTGACACTCGTGTCCTGGGGCTTGTGGCGTAGGGCCTGACACCTAGAGGAGTGAGCATTCATTGTGCCTGGAAAGGAGCTCCACAGATGACTTTAAAAATGGAAGCAAAGGATTAGAAAACCCTTGTCACACGTTCATATTGACGTTAGACAACTTGAAGATGGTTTTGACTTGAAAATAGTTTGAAAAGACTTGTGGCAATGGTTTCTATGTTTAAAAAGGAATCCTGGGTAAGAGAAATTGCCTACAAATCAGATCCCTGCCCCAGCATATCTCTGATTTTTCCTACTACAGGAGAGCTACCTTTAGATTTTTCCTACTCAGACAGGGCACTGATATTAATTGAAAGTAAATGTAACATCAAGGTTTTAAACTTAGTATTATGTGTTAGTACTATGCCACCTCACAGGCAAAGAGAACCTCTGTTTTAATATCCTGATCACCTGGAGAAGTGAGGCATGAAAATAAAGAATATGAGTTCCAACTACTGTTCTAAACTTGGGTTTCAGGACAGTGGTGGTAGATATACAAAATGTCACATGGAACAACTATTTTTTTTTTTCCATCTAGAACTTTATTTTTTTTTTCCAGCTTTAATTGAGTTAATTGATACATTTTAGGGATACAGTATAGACTCTTTTCTATTTATCTACTGAACTTGCTATTACTTCTTAGCCGGGACACCTTGCTTCCACTTGGCTATCACAAAAGAATTTAAGAATTGCTACCTTGAGCCACGAGACTCTTTATGCAACTGACTTAATTTCTGTCACCTCTGCTAAAAACAGTCATGAAAAGAATTATTGGTTTAAAACCTGGAAGGGTTCAAAAACCATTTGAATTTTCCAGTACTTTTACTTATGTATGCTGTGGAAAATAACCTGTGTCTGGAACAAATGACATAAACTTTTTAAAATTATCCAGACAACTAATGGCAGTACTGTGGTTGGAACTGAGGTTTCTGGATTCTCAGTCCTGGGCTATTCTCAAAGGACTATTTTATTGTTTCGAATTTTGTAATTCTTGAAGTATGGTTGAGACAGCAAGAGCTTTGATAAGTGGACTTTGAAGAGAGTCAGTTTCAAAGCTTGACGTTTAATAAGTCACTTATCTTTTCTCAGTATAAGTTTCTTTAACTTAAAAATAGGATAAAGTAGGGATGATGGCCAGAAGTTTGGGAATGATACAGGTAAAGCACCTAGCACATTTTCTGGTATATGGAGGCACCCAGGGAATAGGAGTGGGGACAGCTAATACTATTTTGGTATTTGTGGAGGATTAGGGATGCATCTTCAACTCAGTTATGTTTGTTAACGGCATAGAGCTGCCATCATTTATTTATAGTATTTGAAGTTATTTCTGTTTTAAGCAGAAAGCCTTTCATAAGTTTGACTACTTATAGGGTAAAAGAGAATTCCTTTATATGTATTTTTTTTAAAGCAAATATAGCCAGTATTTTATTTAAATCAGTTGTTAAATCACAGTTTATTCAAGTGAACATAATGCAACATTGTTCTTAAAAGGGGCACAAATACGATGCGGACACAATCCAGTATCTATCAAAATACCATTTGGAAAGCAGAAAACTTGACTCGTTTCATTCTGTGGGCGAATGCGGTCCAACATATAAGAGCAGAGTCAAAAACTTACAACAGTCAATTATTTTCTATATAACATGAAAAACATGTATTTTATTATTACTTTTAACTTTACTATTTCAGAATTTGACAGAAAAGTTTAATTTATCCTATCTGTGGCTTTAAGATTACACAGATTTTCATCATTTCCCTCTAAAGTGCTCTGAGGTTAAGAAGCAAAACAGCTCTTCCATGGAGGCTGGCAGAAGAGCAGTGTAGGATATTCCAGCTACAACTTTCATGGTGTCTGGCTATGCAGGTTATACATGAAGAATGTTATTGTTGATGTTTCAAGTTGTCCCAAAGCGCTAGACACACATTTAGGGCAACTGTCTTTTTAATTTTTTTGGCCATTTAACTGATCACAAATTTTAGAGCTATGGACATCATAAGTAGTTAGGGAAGGTTTCACAGACTTATCAATAGCCTCTTCTAGAAAGAAGATTGTTTAGAACACGTGAGTTCTTTTTAAAGGGTTTAGGCCAGGATCAGTATCTTTTCTTTCTCCTTCCCCCCCGCTTTGTTTTTGGTACACATTTACAGTATACAGTAAATGCATTTATTGTGGGGAGTTTGTACATATACATAACACATCTTAATTCTTTTTTCATCCCCTTCTCCCCTACTTCTGCTCACGCCAACTCTTGTTCTCCCTCCCATTTTCAAAAGCTCTATATTTCCATTTTTAATCCAGTTATCTCTTTTTTTCCCATCCTTATTCCCTCCCCTCTCTGTCCTCTCCAGAATAAATGTCTTGCCGGCTCATTATTTTATATAAAAATAGTGTTAGATCTGATAAGTGTATTTCATCTAGGTAAATGCTGCGACATTCTCTAAGAGTTAAGCCTTCATACTGCATGAGCAGAAAGTACGGCTACGGGTCCCTTATCGGAGTTGATCAATAATAATGATGTGTGTGTGTATGTTTTCTTCTGCATCTGAACTCAGGCGGATCAATTTACTTACTTGTATAGGAAGTACTCTAATTGGAATAACAGAAAGTTTGTCATGATGTTGAGTGCAATTGTTCTGTTCAATCTTTTATCTGTAATAGGCTAAGGTTGCTAACAGCATATTTAGGGTCATTATTTTCAACTGTTTCTTGACACCTAACAATATTATTTTAAGCTCCAGCCAAGTGGATTTCCAATAATTATATAATGTCTCTCAGTAATGATCTGTTGCTTAAGATACACATTCTACTTTACCTTTCAACACATACTTGATAACCTCTCATTTACTAACTGTAATTGAAGCAAATTCAGTCTTGGCTAATTAGGGGCTCTTTGTATCTCCTCATACACATTATTCTTGATAACATATCAATGGAATTAGGGTCTATTTTTATTTTAATTAAAGTAACAAAAATGTGCAACTTAAGTATTAGAATGTTTAAGGACATTACAATTATTTTACAAATAACAAGTCCAGTGTTCTACTGGGGTATGTGAAGTGACAAAACCTTCAGGACTAAAACACCATAGTTTGGAAGCAAACTGACAGTCATACTGGATGCTTAGGTATCAGAAGAGAAGTATAAATAAGCAGGACATCAAACTAGTGCATTATTTGAATGCTGGCCTCTTTGGAAGTAATTTAGTCCACTCCATTTGTTACTGTTGTCACATACATGTTCTTACAAAAAAGTTCACAAAGGAAGAGGAGTTTCAGTGGGGTAAAAATTTTTACATTTGTTATGAACTGATGGCAAGAACAGTTAAACTTTGTAGGTCACTAATAGGTCCTCCAGATAAAGAAATGAAGATGTTAAAAAAAATCCTGTTTCCCATTCCCCATTCCCAAGAAATCTATCTCCAAGGGTCTATTTCCAGGATTTCTCTAGCTTATTTTCACCATAGAATAGGTGCTTTCACTATACTGGGAGGAAACACAATAGAAAAAACGTCAACCCAACTTTTGTTTCTGTTCAACATTTTTGAAAATCACCACATAAGCAAAAAAAGTAAAAGAGAACTTGGAAAAGAAACATATGCTTACAGAGCAATAGCAAATGGAAGGAAAAGTTGCTAATATGGTTTCAGTATTTTGTAAAAGAGCCAGCTGGATGGATGATAATTTTTCTACCCCTGCAGGGCATCAAAGCTTTTAGGAAATCATTCTTTTCACACATATTAACACTTAGCTTATTAAAACAGATGATACTTTTATTGTAAAATGGCCCGGGTAGAGGCTGGAAACATAAAGTCAGAAAGATAAGATTCGTTTTGACCACCCAATCTGACAACAGTGAACACGGACAGGACAGACCATGGTGGGTATGATGACGTCGAAGACCTTCTGTAACTGCCACAGCTGGACTGTCACCAGAAAGCCCGTGAATTGCTGTTATGAAAACATTTGCAGTAACTTGCATAATTAAATGAAACTGCTGGAAAAGCATTTCTAAAATGCAGAGAAGATGTACATAAATAAATACACTTTGAAGCAAGCAAATACTGCATTTCAGAATCAGCTTTGTGGCGAGTTATGCAAAGTTTTGTCTTAAGCAGAGTGCCATTTCCCTTGAAATGACTGTTAAGTGCAAGTGAATGAAGACATTGTTATTTAAATTGATTGCTCCCTTAGTTACTTCTTATATAGGAACTCTCAATAAACAAAACTTGATAATTATGGTATCTAAGACCATAACTCCCCAGGTCTCCTTGTCAGGCCTAAAGGAAGGCTGTAGTATATTTTTTTTTAGCACATATCAGTACTTTACATAGAGATGAAAATGTTCAATAACAGTGCGGCGGCAAATATTAGACTTTCCTGCAGTGTTTCTTTGTTTAACTGAAGAATATATTGACTCACAAAAAAACTTCTACAGTAGGAAACAAATTCATTTCCACATGTTCTGTTTATGGAATGCTGCAAAGGCAAGTGAAATGAAGCCGTACACAATGGTAAACTGATTACCATCCTGCTTGTTAAAACTAACCTCCAAAGGTTGTTGAGACTCTCATTGTAAAGGTGACAATTTTCATGTAGAAAACGAAGCTAATTAAGGCTTCTATCAGTAGTCAAAGAAATATAAAAATTATCCATATTAGCTGCATAGAAGCAATACTATCAAGGAGAACTTGCTCTGCAAACATAACATCAAAATGCGACTTTTCTTTTTGAAGTACATTTGTAACACCAGCATATCTTGCCAGCGTTAACTACTTACATCAAACAACTTTTCTATATACATTTCTTCATTGACCTTTTCTCGAAGAATGTCCTGGTTTTGCCGAACAAACATAATATAGGTGTCTGCGAGATCCATTCCTGGCTTCTGTTGTAAGGGAAAAGCATAAGGAATAAAATAATATCAGGTTTCATTTGGGAAATTATTATTTAATCATTTCCTGAAAAGTAATTTTGAAAATTGCTCTAGTGAAATAAGATGGAGACTAAATCAAAATAAGAAGCTTCAATAAATTCCAGAATTAAACAGTTTATGATAGATGGTCACTCTTTGAGGTCATATTTGTTATATTAAGAGATTAGAAGCACATGCTTCTAAGTCTGTAGATATCTTTATTAAAGGGCTATTTGAAAAGTCAGTGTGCCATGAAGCATAAATGAAAGTTTTTCAAAAGTTTCTCACATGATAATTGATATTGTATAATAGGAAGAAAAGGTCTAAAGGTGTTGGGGAAATGGGAGGAGTAGGGGAAAGGTAAGAAGGGAAAAGAAAAAATATGAGAAAAGGCAAAAAATTGAAATAAAGTCTTTGTAAATAGGGAAGTGTGGAGCTAGGGGAACGTAAGCTAGGGGAATGGGGAAGAGTAAGAACCAAAATACGTCATGTAAAGGTACAAGATCCCAATGATGAATGTAACTGTATTGTATACATAAAATGTACCAAAATATATTAAAATACATATTAAAATTTTCTCATATGAAATTATTTCCTAACTTCAAGTACAATTTACTTTTCATCATCTTTCACTGCTTTATCAATGTGTACTATTGAAATACTAGTTTTCTTTGGACTACTTCCTTTACTATGGATATTCAGAGGAATACAAACAAAATGTTCTCATTAATCACAGTAAAATCGTATTAGAAAGACAGAACTGCTGGGCATGGCGGTGCACATCTGTAATCCCAGCTACTTGAGATACTGAGGTATGAGGATTGCAAGGTCGCCAGTCTGGCAGCACAGCAAGATCTTGTCTCAAAATAAAAATTAAAAAGGGCTGAGGAGCTGGGGATTAGCTCAGTGCTGCTGCACCTGCCCTGCAAGTGCAGTCTTGAGTTTGATCCCCAGTAATACACACACACACACACACACACACACACGGGCTAGGGACAGAGCTCAGTGATACAGCACTCTTGGGCTCAATTCCCACTCCATATCATTCCAATTTTAGTATATGTGCTGCCGAAACGAGCACTTGATTCCCACTCTGAAAGGGTGGGATAAAAACATTTAATATATTATGAAGGGAAACATAAAACATGTTGCATATTGTCCACTGCTTTTACTTATTATTTATCAATACTATTGTAAGGATTTATTTCAGACATGCAATAAGGATATCAATGAACTAGTCTTTTATGTAGAGGTGAAGAGGTGAATTTCTAAAGTTATTTAACATTTGATATCTTCCAATGTTAGAGGAAGTATGAGAGTTAATATTGTTTTTCTTTGCTGTAGAGTAGAAAATCAGTACTAGGAAGGTATAAAATCCTAAATGGCTGCTAAAGAGTCTTCCTTTGCAACGTATAATTAGTTTTCTTCTTGCATTTCACAAAGCATTGCTAGCCAATGAAAATAAATATATGCATCATCTATATCTGGGTTTAATTCATACTCTGTATTGTTATCTCATTAGAGTATATTAGAACAAAATGTGGGAATCGATGCCCAATTAGGATAGCCTCACATCGTTTCATGTCTATACGATATACTTGGAACCCTTGGAAAGGAGTCATCTACAAAAGTAAATATTACAAGAAAATCAAATGATAAAGAGCATAGACCATTTCACTATCACTACTTCTTGAGAAACAACTCAAGCTATACATGTGAGTGATGCTAGCACAGTGGTAACATTTTCTTAAAGGACAGAAAGTTCTTGCCATGTTTTTTGGAGGGGGAGGGAAAATATTTTACAGATCATAATAAAATTGGCGTCTCTTAGCCAATATGTAGCATAGGCAAGAAGCTATCATACTTATGCCATTTATAAACATTAGTTTGATTTTCTGTTAGAAAATTATTTCTGTGTGCTAAGGATCACTGCAATTTCTTACTGTTCTTATATTCAGCCTAAATTTATATACCACATAAATTATAGGATCTTTATACCATAATACTGTACAACAAAATTAGTTAAAATTTGAAATAACTTTGAGTATAAATGTTCTTACTGGTCTCTCCTTCAGAATGTCCATATATAACATAGCAAATCTAAAGGAAGCAATTTAATAAATTCACTCCTTAACTATTTTTCTACAAAATTCTTCTAACCAGCATTTGAAAATCTAAGTAACTACAGGGAGAAAAACATGGGTTTTGTGGGGGGGGAGTTATACATAAAAATTTCAAATGAAGAAGCAGGTTAAATGATACAAATTACTGGTATTGATATTCGAGGCGGGTAACTAACCCATAAGATAAGTATCTGTCTGTGCCTCTCAAAATTTGTCAAAACACTGAAAATGAGAACATTCCGAAAATATACTGCCACAGAATGAAAATGACATGAAGAGAATTTTCTATACTTAATCAAGCTCTCTCAGCGTCTGAGTTTCCGGCAGGTGCCTGAAAAGAAGATACGCGACACATAATTCCGAGGCACTGGGTATGGCCATACTGCGAGGAAGAACAGACAACTGAGAGTCTTCCCTGCACATTTCTCCCCACCCAACTCCAGTTCTATTTCTGCTTTTCAAAGGAAAACTATGCTTGGAAATTTAATCCACTCAGTCACTTGACCCATCAGACTCAATGGAAAGGAAATTCTGGCCAGGAAGAGCAGAGAATAATGACTTTATACATTTGTCACAGACAAAAGGATATTTCTTTTCTATTTCCTTGGTCTATTTCAAGATAATATTAGACAACATGAAACATTTTCCAGGAAGAGTTTATTTTTTTTATCACCAAGCTCCAACAAATACTTTACAGTATAATCCTACAAGAAAGTTAAATGTTATTTCCTGATGGCTGACTCACAGAACAAAATACTGAAATGTATAAGTTGGGAATTTTATAACTTTCTAAGGACACAAAAGTCTCTGGTTGAGGATGTGAAATAAACCTCATTTAAAAGTTTGTTCCAACAAATTAAGTGTTTTTCTTTTTGAAACTGCATATTCTTCTTCTTTAGCAAATTAAGATCTACTTGCCTGGAAAACAAAACCTAGAATTCTTACATTCCTCATTAGCATTATTTCTTCCTTTATCTTTGAGCTGTTTACCTATTCTTGAAACTGTGACATATGGGAATTTCACACCTAGTGAATATATTTTCATGTAGCTTGTGGCATGAGACTATAATCATTAAAAGAATATACACAAGTAAGAGTAACTGCAACAGCTGGTGACATTTACCAATTAGAATTATAGTTCTTTAAAGCACTTTATCCTTCATTTGGTATATGAAGGGTAATTATCTCTGATAAATTGCTGAAAAAGATGTAATTTTCCTTTTAAACAGTTTCTACGTACAGTACAAATGTGTTTGGATAGAAGACATTATCACTGGTTCAGTGCTCCTCTGTACTAGGACTCTTGTTTTATGGCAGTCAAATTTACACACTTTTGGGCCAGGGATTTAGCTCAGTGGTTCAGTGGCCTGCCTTGCAAGCGCAAGGACCAGAGTTCAATCCCTGAAAAAAAAAAAAAAAAAAAAAAAAATGTACACACTTTGAAAGTCACTGCATCTAATTCTACCACTAAGTGTTTATCTTATTAGGAAAGGATGTCTACTGAAGAAAAAAATCAAACTAGGCACAGTACTAAGTTTTTGGGTATATCTTGAAGTTTAAACAATGCATGTGATTACAGTGTGGATATAAAATATATAGCTACAAGTCCTGTTATAAAAGGGACGGCCTGTTGAACTTCAATATTGGTGGATTTGGAAGAGATTTTATCAAGAATATTGTATCCTAAAGAGTTATATTTAGAAATCTTTTCTAAATTGGCAATTAAATTATACCTTCCTTAATGAATATGAGAAAATAGCAATTAAAAAACCACACGGCTAACACTCTCATATATTAAACACCGTTTAAAGAGAATAAATGATTGTTTTTTTCATACTCATTTAAACTTCTGAGATCTTCAGCTCACTAAGCACTAACTTTTCCAATTTATTTATTAATGTAATCATCTCCAGATCAAAAGAGGAGTTCCTAAATTACTTTAAATCTGACCAGAAAAGATCAGATTTTGCCTCTCATAGTTATAGTAAAGAGACACAAAAAATCTAAAAAATTTCCCCCTGAGCATAAAAAAAATAAATCACTGTGGAAGGAAATGAACTATGTAAAGGTGAGTTCCTCTGACACCGGCTGGATAAGTAATCGAATACATCATGAGTGAATGAGTTTAAGTATGGGTGCAGACTCCAGCAATTTTTTTCAAGCGTTAATTACTAGTTAACCTAGCAAGATGAACGTGCTGCTTAAAGAGAGAGAAAAAAATTCCTTGTTAATTATATGCTGCAAACGCTCTTACTTCCTGCTGCTGCACCTAATCCCACAGGTGCAAATCTTCGCCTTCCCTATTCATGGGTAGGTGGGTGCAATGCTGCAGTCATTTTTCACAGCAAAAGATTTAGATACAGAAGAAGCCGCTTAACCTTCCACTGGAGGTTAACGATACACTACACAAACACTGTCACGGTGTCTGTTTAACAAGGAGTCAAAATTTAAAATGTACTATTCTAGTCTCAAAGATTAACAAGAAGCTACAGCATAATTGACTTAATTTTAAAGTGCACTTCTAATTTCAAAAAACTTGCTTTTAAGAAGCAATCAAGAGTGAATCTGTGATATCCTCATTCCTGATGATCTAAATGCTTCACAAATGAAATACATGCACCTGGTCATTCATTACCATTTTTAAAAAGTAAGGTGTCATAAGATCACATCATCTAAACTTGAAATTGCTATGGGAACATTTCATAGTTGAGCTAAGATTCAATATTAGTTTATCACTGATCACTGGGCAACAAAGGATATAAGTCTACAAATAAATAATCTATCTCAGACTTTGGAAAAACCAGTATTTTCATGGTTTATTACATCTTTTTTTACTTTGGCATTTATGTA